TCAGTTGGCAGCAATTCTCTGCTCTTCATTCTGCGTAGCAACTGAAGGCGGGTCTTGTTGCTGGACTCTGCAGCAATTCGTCTTGCCTTCGGAGCTGTTCTCGTCTGGTCTCTGCCGTTTCCTCTGTTTCTGTAGCACGTCTCCCTCTATTTCTAGAGGAGGTAGAGAGAGAGGTGGTGAGACTAGAGCTGCTTAACTTATCGTGGACTTGCCAAGCCTTGAATTTGATTGGCTGACCAATATCGTCATGTGATTGGCTCTTTCGCGAGGAAGAAAGGGAAGGGACAAAAAATCGTCCTTATTGTCATGACCATATTTTAATGTAATACCGGGACACTATTAACTCGGAGCTTAAGCAGAAACATGCAACTCTCGAACCTAAAAAAGAGTTACTTCTCCCTCATTTCCAGTGTACTGTAGTTGTTCAAGCAGTTCCAATTCTGGTCACCCTCCACAGTGCCATTCTGTACCTCAATGATGAGTTTGAAGGAGGAGACTTCTTCTATGCACACTCTACAAAATACCTCTCACCTGAGGGATGTGAGTTTGCCATTGCCATGCCGTGCTCCTGGATTACGCTTAAGCCTTTACTCACAAAGATCCATGCTTGAATTGTGCTGCCGCAGCATGATCTCGTTTCATATCTTCTTTAGCAGTGAAGAATGCGCATTGAATAACATACAGTGGTGAAGGCCTGAGAACAAGGCCATCCATAGCTGTAAAACACTTCAGCTATTATTGAGGAAAGATGTATTGGTGGAACGGTCTTCTTTAACTCCCGTCTCCCCCCGTCCCTCTCCCTGTGCCACAGGAGACGGTGAGTCCAAAGTGTGGTCGTCTGGTGGCCTTCTCGGCAGGGAAGGAGAACATGCATGGAGTACTGGCTGTCACCAAGGGCAGGAGGTGTGCCGTGGCTCTCTGGTTCACCCTTGACCCCAATCACAAAGAGGCTACCTTCTCCATTGCTGAGGAGATTCTCCACGAGATCAAGACTGTTTCATGATAATAACAGCCAGGGATTTTGTCTACCACTGATTCAAATTTTGTTGTTCTTTTCTCTTTTGTACCAATTATTTCCTTTTTGTATTATACCAATTATGCAGCTGCAAGTGTGGACATTGTAATTCACTTGTGCGTCACTAGATAATATTATGGCAAAGAATCACATTATAACCACCCCTATTGTGGCCTAAGTATTAATCGCGTTATGGGTGTGGATTAGTTAGTAGTGTTCTTTCTAAGTTAGGCTTCCCTGTGAAGCCTGTATAAATGTTCTTGTCTGACCCTCAAAAGCACAAGCTGTGGAGGGAAGGACAGTAAGAAGCCAAGACTACTTATTTGCAGTCATATGACATACCCCTCGTCAGGAAGTTACAGAGCAAGAGTGATGGCTAGTAGCTAGTTGAACCTTCAGAACTATTGAAGAATACTCCGTTTAATATCTTCTCATCTAATAAGGGCCACATTTTGTTACTTTTAAGCTACCCTCTCCAACAGTCATATGTGGAACAGCTGTGACATTGACTGTGGTTTAAACTGCTGCTGTCCATGTTATACAGGCTAGGTCGTGTAGAGTTATCAGCTATCACCCCCTCCCCCCCTCGAACACAGCCCTTATTCCTCATGCACCCATCTGTCTTTATTGCTCATTTGTTTTCCCCTCCTCTCCCCTCCCCTCCTCACCCTCCTGCTAGTGGGACCTGTACTACATGGGCAGTGAGCTCTACCATAGGAACCAGTGGCAGGAGCTGGTGGATGTGATGGAGACCTCTCTACAGGAACTGCCCAGGGCTCTCCAGCAGTGCAGGGATGAGTGCTATGGTCCTCTCAGACTTGGCCACAGAATGGCCTTTGCTCAGGCTTTATTTGTACTGGCCTGTAGGCAGTACTGGGCCTGGCGTCTTGTAGTGCTTATACACGTAGTTCGTATGGGTACGAAGTGTGTAGCTCATACACTCATTGCGAGCTTAATCAGCAAGTTGTATTTTCAAGACTAGAGTCTTGTTGTTTGTCCTTATATTTGGTTGATCGCTATCCACCCCATCCCTAAACACCTTTTTACTGGTAGTGTTTTAATTTGGATGCAGAGAATCCGGTCACCTCAGTAAGGGTAACCAATCCTTTTGCTTTTTATTAGACTTAAAAACTAGAAACACAAGGCTAGTTTGCATGTGTGTGTTGTATATATGCCACACCTTAGCTATGTATAGGTCCATGATGTCAAGGCTAGTTTGTGTGTGTAAACAAGCTGTAAGCCACACAGGCTGCTGACTTTTTTACACTTTCGCTCTATGTCATGCATTTAACCAATGCACAGTAAACTTTTGAGGTCTATGCTTCACCAATTCTCTATGTCCCCAGACGGTTATCCACCAGATGATCACACTGAAGGAGTGTCAGAGCCAGTGTATCCACAGACTGGGAGAACTGAGGTTTGACAAGACTGAGGAGTTCTTTGGCAGCTACTTCCACTACCTCCAGTATGGCTACCACAGTGTGAGTCTCTAGTGATATGAGGTAGCCATTTCCACTATCTCCAGAGTATGGCCCTACAACCTGTGTGGTGTCTAGTTAACCCTCGCCTGGGCGCATGTGCAGCGAGGGTTATTGTAGTTGGTCTGTCTGCGTGTGTGTCCACCGTTTTTCTCAGTAACCGTGGCAACTCTGAGCGTGAAACGTAGACATATTATCAAGTAGGAGGCACGCATGGTAAAAATTAGATTTGGAGCGGAGAAACCCGGGGAAGCTCGTGACGGCTGCCGAGGTGAGGGTGCATCAAATAGAGATCGCGGACAATCGCTGAACTTAGATGCTAGATGCTTTGCGCGTGTGGAGATTTGCTGGTCTGCCTGTATTTATGGTATATACAGTGGAGTAGGATCAAAAACTGTGCCAGCGGTTATATACACCTATACGTATTGGAGTCTACATACGTTTCAAGCTGCTGGCACGTTGCGTTTTGGCAGCAAAGGGAGCTGCCCACGAAGGGTCCCGCTAAACATGGGTCTGGTTTAACACAGAGCACTTTTTGGCCCCCTCGGAGCACCACGAAAATTATACCAGTCTGTGGGGTTACAATGTACTGCTTTGGCATCATGGCTTGTTTATACACATGTGTACACATGTGTACACATGTGTGAGTGTCTAAGTGCCCCATGGAACGAAGTAGACATTTGCACTACTTCTGATATGGCTACAATGTGGTGCTATACAACTGCCCCATACACAATGTCAGGCTTTCCTGTGGATTATAATATCTGTTTCTTCTACCTATATCTTCTTCTTTCAACTTCAACTTGTACATGTCTGCAGTGAATGCAAGTCTACCAGCCATCCAGGCATCAGCCACACAGCTACAGTTGGAACCCCACAGTGATGTAGCCAAGAAAAACGCTGTCTTCTACCAACAGCAACATGGAGTCACTCGCAACGACTTTATTCCACGATAGGTATGGACAGTGTGTGGTTATTGGTGCACTTTTATTGAAATGGCTGTACATGTGCTATAAATGTTATAGAAAGGGTACTGCATGTAAACATGTGTATGGTATTGTAATGGTTTGTTTGTAAGTGTATGTATCTTGAGTAGTATGGTGAATCATACAGGGTCTTTCTGAGGGATTTTGCTACATGTGACATAGTATTATGGCGAGCGGGAGTGACCAAACTACACATATGCAGCCATGGGTGAGCATGCACAGGGGGATCAAAGCTTTTCACATAGCTGTCCTCTGCTGCTGGATGCGCGCCTCTCTTGCATGCATCAGCGGCGACAAAAGGCATTTTCCCTGCTACTTGGCTTCTTTCGGCTGCCTCCTGCTAGCTCCGTCTCTCACTAGTTGCTTTGCCTGATGAGTCACACTCCATAAGTATCTTGTGTACAGCAGACATGTTTAAAGAATGTGTGTAAAATTGAAGACTGCTGTGTTAAATTGTTTTGCAGTGCGGCAATGCCAGTGGCAATGCGGGTCACAAAGATATGGAAAATATTAGTCAATCAGACAACTGGTTTTGCTTGCTCCCTCTCTCAATAATAGTTGTAGTCTAGCCAAAAGGTCGGTCAGCCTTCTTCTAAACTTCTACCATCTTTCTTTAACCGAACTTAGTAATGTATGGTCGTGCCCACCGTCCAACTGAAACATGGCATCACATGGTCTATTGTTACATGGGTTGGTCATGGCCACGCGATCCTGCACGTAATTGTATATCATTAGCTATGTATGTACATATACTTTGGAGGTGATTTTTGATGAGCATCCAAGAAAAATACTCTGAGAACTTGTTTGTCCTGTTTTGTCTTGGTCTAACATTGTCATAAGTCCTGAAAAACAAATGTGTGTGACCCTAAAAACAATGTAATTTCGGTATAATTCACGCATCAGTACGTTTTGCGATTTTGTGATTTTCCATGTGGTAACAAAACATATTGTGGCATACCGACACTGCAAGTCCATCATACAAAACCCTGAATGTCTGGTTATAGCTTATGCTAATTACAGTGAACAAAAGTACGAAACTTGTTCTATAATTGTCCTTGTTTCTTCTCTACTTCTTCATTGAGTGCAGACAACACATGTCACCTCCTTCTCACTGTTGTAAGGAGGACAACTGAGGCTGTTGCAAGTTGCCTCCACATGATAGTAGAAGGCATTGCTGTTATCATGTGCATTAAGTCCAGGAACAGACTCTGGTTGATCATCAATACACTCAAACAGTGTACGACCATTGCTATGATATGCTGCCATGAGGTATCCATTGTATTCTGTGGTCCAGTTGGTGGGGCAGCTCAATTTGGCAGGTATCACTAGTAGTTTACTTCTGTGGGAGGTACAACAAACTGCACACGGTATGTTGTGGTGGTTTTTCCCTCCAAATGGCTGGTTTATTGTGACTCCATACTCTGCTCCCCTGAGGGGACTATAACCTTGTACTCCACCCTCATAACGAGAGTACTCAGGATCATCTGACAGACAGAGAAGATTGGCTGCACCTCCATCATGGTTGTAGTTAGACCCCCCAGCTCTTCCAGAGTAGACTAGTGTTGTTCCCTGGTCAGAGGGACAGGAGGTCCTCCCCCAGCGAGTGTAGACTGTTCCTCCTCCTGTTGCTGGACCATGTAGACCAGGTACTCCTTGAGGACCAGCAAGACCAGGGGAACCGCGACTGCCCTTGTCTCCCACTGGCCCCTGGGGACCAGATATTCCGGGAGGTCCCCGAAAACCTGGCAGTCCCCTCTCTCCCATGTCTCCTGGCAATCCGGCGTCTCCTCTGTCTCCCTTTGCTCCTCTCTCTCCCTTCCCACCATCGCTGTCGTTCTGACCCTCAGGACCATGTGAAGCCTGTTTCTCCTGGAAGACCAGGCAGACCTCTGTCTCCCTTTGGTCCCTGAGCTCCTGGCTCTCCCCTCACACCATCTCTCCCGTCTCTGCCGTCTCTTCCTCTCAGGAGCTCCACTTGTGGACAGGTGTGGGTTTCTCCATCACCACTAGTATTGCTTGGGTCTCTCTCCAGGGAAAGGGCTGTTTAGAGAGTGAGAAGTAAAGATGTTGCTGGTCATCTTAAAAAAGTGTGGCAGTATGTATTGTAGTAGAAGCTGTTACTGAAAAAAGAAACACAATTGTATCCTTGATATTGGACCTATTGTTTAGCTCAATTTTTTGTAACAATTTAGCCCTTATATACTTCTACATTCCCTTCTATTTTTGATGGTCATACCTGCAGTCAGTGAGCAGATCATCGTCACAGCTAGTGTAGCTGGCATTATAACCTTTAGAACAACTCCCATTTTTTTCTTTCAGTGACCAGTTATTTTGTGATCTACTCAGATCGTTTTGGCCACTTTTATTTGAAGGAGACCGTGGGGGCTGTCTTGTTTTACTACACTAGATTTTTTATCACTACCCTTCTTTTGCTCCTACACATTTTTCTCTACTAGTTTCTTGGTGCTCCTACACGTTTTACTCCATGTTTTACTCCACTGCTTTCTTGGTGCTCCTACACGTTTTACTCCATGTTTTACTCCAATGCTTTCTTGGTGCTCCTACACGGTTTACTCCATTCGTGTTTTACTCCACTCCTTTCTTGGTGCTCCTACACGTTTTACTCTACTGCTTTCTTGGTGCTCCTACACGTTTTACTCCATGTTTCACTCCAATGCTTTCTTGGTGCTCCTACACGTTTTACTCCATTCGTGTTTTACTCCACTGCTTTCTTGGTGCTCCTACACATTTTACTCCACTTCTTTCTTAGTTGTCCTATACACAGCGCTGCTTTCCTTGGTTCTCTTACACCTTTTACTCAACTGCTTTGGTTTTCCTATGTACACTTTTCACTCCACTGCATTCTTGGTGCTCCTACGTACATTTTGATGCTCCTACACGTTTCACTCCTCTTTCGGAAGCATGATTCTACCTCCTGCAAGCTCTGTCTCTCACTAGTTGCTGCCCCCGCGCTGCCTGCGAGTCACGCTCCATAAATATATTGTGTACAGCAAACACATCGACAGAATGTGTATAATTTTAAGACTGCTGCGTTAAATTGGAATTTTGTTCTGTGTGGCAGTGCCAGCGGCAATGTGGGTCACAAAGATAAAGAAAGTATTGGTCAAACAGACAACTGTTAAATTGTTTTGCGTGTGTGCCAGTGGCAATGTGGCAATGTGGGTCACAAAGATATAGAAAGTATTAGTCAAATAGACAACTAGTTTGCTTGCTCCAGCTCCCAATAATTGTAGTAGTCTAGCCAAAAAGTCAGTCAAACTTCTTCTAAACTTCTACCATCTTTAGTAGTGTATGGTCGTGCCCACCGTCCAACTCCTGAATAAGACCTGAAAAACAAAAGTGTCACTATGAAAATAGTGTAATTTCGGTGTGATTTGCGCATCAGTACGTTTTGCGATTTTGTGATATTGCATGTGGTAACAAAACACATTGTGCCATACCAACACTACATGTCCATACAAAACCCTGAATGTCTGGCTTATGCTAATTGCAGTGAACAAAAGTGCTAAAGTTGTGCTAATCCTACTATAGTTGTCCTTGTTTCTTCTCTACTTCTTCGTTGAGTGCAGACAACACAGGGGGCTGTGTTGTGGTACTAAACGTGTTTTTAAGATCGCTCCTTTGTTGAACACTTATTCACGAATGACTAACCCTCGGCGCGCATGCGCAGCGAGGGTCACAGTACTTGGTTTAGTGTGTAATTCCGTCCGTCTGTCTGTCTGTCTGTTACCACGTTTTCTGCACCACGCACAACGAGACAACTATATAGCAGATACCAAAACAGGTCCATTTCTACGCTGGCTTGATTTTAAAAATAGCCATTTTCGTAGAAGTACTGCGTTCTAAAGTTGTGGCGTGAAAACCAAGTGAACAAGCCAATGCACTATATCACTCGCTTACCTCGACCTGACCAGCTTGCTATGTGTATATACCTCAGAGGCACAAGAAGCAAAAACGAAGGGCGTGTATCGACTCCCACATGCTATCTACTACTGTAGCTAGCCCGTATCAGACTCTCCGCGAGCTACTAGCGGGAGACCACGAGTAAACGCATACTTATAGGCCCAGCCCATCAATTAGCATTACCGCGCATGCGCAGTTCGCCGAGGGTTTGCACTTTAGTGCTTTTCATTACACCAGTATCTGGTAACCACTCTCCTGAAAGGCGCAGTAAGCTCTCAATACAACAGAATGTGTAGTAATATGCACATGCACAATGTGTGCACAGCTTGTTTTTTGGAGGAATTTTTTTTAATGGTCATTGTTGATATTTTGTTCTACGTACAGGTATGTAATAGATACATACATAGGTGTTCTTGCTAAGTTTGGAGGATATTTTGGACACAGTGATGCACTCATGTGGGTATCTCCATCATCACTGGGTCTGTCTCCAGGGAATGGGCTGTGTAGACAGTAGATTGTCGTACATGCAGTCTGTGAGAACATCATCATTACAGCTTGTAGCTGGGAGTGAAATGTTGAGACTGAGACCAACTCTCATGATATTTTGTCAGTAACGTTGCGACTAGTGGGCTGCTACGCCAATGTTTAGTTACGACCACTCCCTTGTTGGATGGTTACTCACAAAGAAGGTATAATTCCACTACTCTCCTGGTTCTCCTACACGGTTCACTCCACTACCTGTGACCCACATCTCCCAAAGGGGTGTGGTAGGCAGTATGACAGAAGGGCTGGAAATGTTATTGAACAATAGGGCCCAGTTTAAGAATGCAATTCTGTTTTGGTTTTTAGTAACATTTGCTAAATTATATAATACCATTAATACATGTGGGCGTGCCTAAACAGGAAAAAAAGTGCAAACCCTCGGCGCACTGCGCATGTGTGGTATCGCTAATTGATGGGTTGGAAATCGCCACCATCTTGTCGTTGTTCTGAAGCCGATGGTGCCACTCGTTGGCCGCCTCGTAGCCCGTAGTGCCAGAATAGCAGTGGACAGGCAGACAGACCAAGTACGCACCGAGGGTTAACCAAAAGCACTAAAGTTAAACCATTGGCACATTAGAAACACTCCACAAGCCTATATATGACTATTGCACCCATACGCATGCACATGTGAGAACCGCTAGGGACTAGTTGACAGCAGTTTAGGCTTTACGAGACTCAAAATCACCCTCTGTTGTAAATTCCGATGCTTCCATTGGTGCAAAAAGGCAGAATGCAGTTGAGGTAAGCGAACGTAATTGGCACATTAGCTTGTTGACTTGGTTTGCAAATCATAATTTTTTAAAACTCAGTATAAAATTACCAAATTCAAAATCAAGCCATCCGTTAGTATTGCTTTTTGCCAGCTTGTTGCGTGTGGTGGCAGAAAACGTTGTAACAGACAGACACATACACACTTTCTCGCCAAGTTCCATAACCCTCGCTGCACATGCACGCCGAAGATTAATAATTCCTCCCACAATGGATGTCTACCCACCCCATTACTTTTGGTCCCACATAAATTCATGCTCTATGTTAATGTTTTAACAGCTGCCTTATTGCGTTTGATTCTTCACTGTAAGGGTAGTGGATGGTGGAGGATGTGGATGAGTGATAATATGGATTGTAGACACGCACAAAGGATCCTTTATTAACACTTGGCTCCCATGGGTTACAGTACCTGGTTTGTGTGTGTGTGCGTGCGTGTATGTGTGCGTCAGCGGCTGTTCTGGTACTACAGGCTAAGAAGTGGCCTATTAGCTGTATGTACCAACAGCTTCATGGCTACGAGGGCATAAAAATTAATAGGCGATTTTTCTCAAATCACTGCATTTGAGACATTGCATTAAAACTTAAAACACATTGTGCGCCTTAATAGCTGATAGGGTGTGTTGAATATAGCTCATACTTTGACCTGCAGTTACCATGTAGAGGAGTTGGCCTAGGGGTAACGTGCTGCGTTGCGAGTGAACGCAGGGGTAGGAGGTTCAATTCCTGCCATTGCAATTTTTTTCTGGTTTTTTATAATTATTCATGAGAGCCACTATATAGTGGCCTACCGGCACTGGCTTACCTTTACCTTATCTACTTGCTCTACATACCAAAGTCGCAACAGAGGGTGTGTATTGAGTCTCGCATGCTGCAATGTATCTACTAGTGTAGCTAGCCAAACAAAGAGTAAATTGACAACACATAGCCCACCCATTAATTAGTGGTACTGCGCATGCAAATGTGCCAAGGGTGTGTACTGGTTGGACTGCTATGTTGCACAGGATGTACAGCCACTGATAGAGTCCATGGATCTGGAGCATTCCTTCATGCATGTCCTGGATGAGTTGTCAGGTCATCTGGAGCAGTTTGGGAAAGTGAGACAGGGAGGAGAGGAGGGACAGGACGATGCTGAACTGGTCAGAACCTGTTGCTGCTAATGTTGATTATTGCCTATGTATTTGATCTTAACAACAGTTTAAATATTGCCTAGGCCTTACAACAGTACTAGCGAAATGCCCAAAACCACAAAATGTGCCTGCAATCATTTTCACTCTAAGGTGCGGTTACCAGCAATTATTTCTATGGTTTCGTGTAAAGCTCAAAATTTAATGCTCGTAAGAGTTGTTGCACTCACCTGTGTGCATGCACAGCGCAGAGCCATGCCCATGTTTAGAACCACAATGGCCCCAGAGCCTTGCGTAAAGCCATGCGTTCATGAGATATCTGTGGCTGTATTGGCTAGTCTGTGACATCTCTGTGGGGTTTACTAATTTGCATGCACAAAGTGTATTGTAAAGTACTATCAAAATGCAAAACCACAAAAATGTGGCCACAATAATTTTCACTCTAAGGCGGGTATAGTTAATGGGAATTAAAGTATAGTGCTTGTGTCTATCTCTTTATGATTACAGCTGGACAATGATTTCTTAGCCTATCCTCCTGCCAATATACCACAAACAGAAGAATGGGAATGGCAAGAGTGGAATAAGGTGTGTACATCAGACTTCAGTGTGTGAGTGGGCAAATTTTTTTGCCAGCAGTAGTCCAGTCTTTGTGTTGTGTCATGATTTTCCGTCCCTTCTCTCCCTTGCCCCAGCCTGAAATAGTGAGGTTCACAACTGACCCAGACCGTATGCTGGCAGACAATGTTTTATCTCAAGACCAGTGTGACAAACTACTGGAGTTGGCCAAGGTAGGATATCATCATTTTACCGTAAAATTGCAAATGCTGAAATTACAGTCATAATAAAGTACGTGTTTCCGTTACGTAGAACAGCCTTTCAACGGGTAACTGTGTCGTTTTCACCTTCAAAATACTAATCTACACTTGTTGAAGATTCGTCATGCAGCACATGAAAAGTCGCTGAAAACGACGCGAAGAAACAGGCGTGGCACAACGGTACGGAACAGATCACAAAGTAAACGGGAGGGAAACGAAAACAGAACGGGATGGGCTGTTCCGCAGACAGAACGGAAATGCGTACTTTTTTGCGACACCTACTGTATGTCAAAGCCAGCATGCTGTTTGGTCTGAGACTAGCAGGACGTACGTTGTCTCGAGGTGCAAAATCGTGCTCAACGATAAGTGTTCCTTGAAAGAAATGGAGTACAGCAAGAATACACATGCATAAAAGAAGTACGCAATTAAAGTAGAAGTGGTAGCGAGTCCCTGTGGCCTTGTGTAGCTCTCCAGTTAGCAGAAAAATGTTGCCGTGGCTGAGTTCGTAGTTCTCTCGCACCAAGATCTGTGTACATCGAAAGCCAGGTCAGGAAATTGTATGATGCCGGAGCCGAATTTTGCATGCCCCATCCATGGTGGATCTAGACTTTTAGTAGGAGAAGGGTTAAAACTGCACAGGTAATTTGCGAGTGGGAGCGAACAAGGTGATAATTCCAAGGGCACAGCCTGGAGGGTTAACACATTTGTAAGGGAGAACCCCCACAGTGGGCAATGGATAGTCAATTAATACTGGTAAGCGATTGCATCCTCAAAATCTGATCGAAATCTGTTTACGGACAATAAAATATTTTTGCATCACTGTGGACCCAGCACCATTTTGTGTTGCTGGCCAGGTAGCTACGTACACTGATTGTGTATATAGTAGCAGGTAAAAACCAATGGACCGTCATAACAGCATGAGTTTTCCAGTGGAAAACACATAATATGCTTAATGTGGTACTTAGCTACCGGAGTGGTACTTATCGTCTTAATGCTGGATTTTTCCACATATTATCTGTCTGTAACGTACATCGGGCCCTACATTCCAGAATGTGTTAAACTGAAAACTTCTCATTTTGTTTATCGAAAATGCATTATACTGTATCTGTGTGTCTGGTAATGGCCACTGACCACCATACCATCCTCCTCCCTGCAGTGGTGGAGAGGAGAGATCTGAGTCATCCGGTCCACTCTGATAACTGCATCCTGAACGAGGCCACTGGAGAATGTGACAAAGTCCCTCCTGCCTACACCTGGAGAGACTACAGGTCAGTGGAGGGAGGGATGGGATGCGGGCAAGGAAGAAAAGAACAGGAGGTAGAGAGAGGGGGTGGTGAGAATTTGATTGGCTGACCATAGCATCATGTGATTGGCTCTTTGGCGAGGGAGAAATGGAAGGGACAAAAGATTGTCCTCATTGTCATGACCATTATTTTAATGTAATACCGGGACACTATTAACTCGGAACTTAAACAGACACATGCAACTCTCAAACCTGAAAACAGTTACTTCTCTCATTTCCAGTGTAATTCTGGTAAAATCCTCCCTCCACAGTGCCATTCTGTACCTCAATGATGAGTTTGAAGGAGGAGACTTCTTCTATGCACACTCTACAAAAGACCTCTCACCTGAGGTATGTGAGTTTGCCATTGCCATGCTGTACTCCTGAATTACGCTTAGCTTTTACTCACATAGATCCATGCTTATGGTCATAATAATGCATTGTAAACATGCTGCTTCAATAATAAATTGTGCTGCCACAGCATGATCTCGTTTCACATCCGCTCTAGCAGTGAAGAATGCGCATTGAATAACATACAGTGGTGAAGGCCTGAGAACAAGGCCATCCATAGCTATAAAACACTTCAGCTATGATTGAGGAAATAAATATTGCTGGCACAGTCTTCTTTAACTCCCATCTCCCCCTGTCCCTCTCCCTGTGCCACAGGAGACGGTGAGTCCAAAGTGTGGTCGTCTGGTGGCCTTCTCAGCAGGGAAGAAGAACATGCACGGAGTACTGGCTGTCACCAAAGGCAGGAGGTGTGCCGTGGCTCTCTGGTTCACCCTTGACCCCAACCACAAGGAGGCTACCTTCTCCATGGCTGAGGAGATTCTCCACGAGATTAAGACTGTTTCATGATAGGGATTTTGTCTACCACTGATTCAAATTGTGTTGTTCTTTTCTCTTTTGTACCATATTATACAGCTGCAAGTGTGGACATTGTAATTCACTTGTGCCTCACTAGATAATATGACAAACAATCACATTATAACCATCCCTATTGTGGCGTAAGTATTGATCGTGTTATGGATGTAGATTAGGGAGTAAAAGGTGTGATATTCTTTCTAACTTAAGCTTCCCAGTGAAGCCCGTATAAATGTCCTTGTCTGACCCTCAAAAGCATAAGCTGTGGAGGGAAGGACCAAGGCTACAGTTATTTTCGTCAGGATGTTAGAGCAAGAGTGGTGGCTATATAGTAGTTGAACCTTCAGAACTACTATCAGAATATTCCATTTAATATCTTCTCATCTAAGGGCCATTTCTTACTTTTATGGCTACCCTCTCCGATGGAACAGCCATGACATTGACTGTGGTTTAAACTGCTGCTGTTAGGTTTGGTAGAGGTATCAGCTATCAACCCCCTCCCTACCCCTTATTTTTCATACACCCATCTGTCTTTATTGCTCTTTTGTTTTCCCCTCCTCCCTCCCCTCCCCTCCCCACCCCTCCTGCTAGTGAGACCTGTATTACATGGGCAGTGAGCTCTACCATAGGAACCAGTGGCAGGAGCGGGTGTATGTGATGGAGACCTCTCTACAGGAACTGCCCAGGGCTCTCTAGCGGTGCAGGGATGAGTGCTATGGTCCTCTCTGACTTGGCCGCAGAATGGGCTTTGCTCAGGTTCTTTTGTACTGGCCTGTAGGGAATACTGGGCCTGGCAGCGTATGTGCTGTTGGTATACACGTAGTTCGTATGGGTGCGAAGTCTGCTGCTCATACACTCATTGTGAGCTTAATCAGCAAGTTGTATTTTCAAGACTAGAGTCTTGTTGTTTGTCCTGATATTTTGGTTGATCGCTATCCACCCCAACCCTACACAAGTTTTTACTGAAGATGTTTTAATTTGGATGCAGAGAATCCGGTCACCTCAGTAAGGGTAACCATTCCTTTTGCTTTTTATTAGCCTTAAAAACTAGAAACACAAGGCTAGTTTGTGTGTAGACAAGCTGTAAGCCACACAGGCTGCTGAGTTTTTTTATACTTTCGCTCTATGTCATGCATTTAAGAAATATCCTATGTAGAAAAACCATGTGATGCCAAGAGAAAAAGATGGGGACCTCTGGACAGCTGTTTTGGGCTTGTTGGCCCTCATCAGCAGAGCATACCACAACTTCTCTCTCTGGCATCACGAGTTTATAAAGGCTGACATGAGCGAAGCACTTGTGGTTCTGAACTAATGAGATTCATCCCCACAAGGCTTTGCCACTGGTATGTGCTGCTGACCCTGCCCAGACATTCGTGGTTTGGAGCCTAGGTCCCCTCCCCACTCCTGCTGGTCAAGGTCAGCACCGAGCTATGCACAGTAAACTTTTGAGGCCTATGCTCACCAATTCTCTATGTCCCCAGACGGTTATCCACCAGATGATCACACTGAAGGAGTGCCAGAGCCAGTGTATCCACAAACTGGGAGAACTGAGGTTTGACAAGACTGAGGACTTCTTTGGCAGCTACTTCCACTACCTCCAGTATGGCTACTACATGTGTGAGTCTCTAGTGATATTAGGTAGCCATTTCCACTACCTCCAAAGTATGGCCCTACCACATGTGTGGTGTCTAGTACATTACTAACTCAAGGATCGCTACCACCCATGTGTGAGTCACTAGTACCGCCAAGTCACAAAGTACGGAGTGAAAATCGGTATGTGACCGCACTTTCTTAAGTAAATAACGCAACCACACTTCCGGTAAGTTTCAGCAGGCTCATTCCTACCTAGTAGTGAGCGTCTCCCCACAAAGACTGTGCCAGTGGTTGTATACACCTCTACATATTGGAGTCTACATATACCACGTTTCAAGCTGCTGGCACGTTGCGTTTTGGCAGCAGGGGGTGTTGCCCACGAAGGGTCCCTCAAAACGGGTCCGGTTTAACACAGAGCACTTTTTGACCCCCTCGGAGCTCCACGAACATTATACCAGTCTGTAGCACTGGAATGGGTTACAATGTACTGCTTTGGCATCATGGTTTGTGTATACACACGTGTGACTCTCTAGTGCCCCATGGAACCAGTAGCCATTTCCACTGCCTCTAGTATGGCTACCATGTTGTGGTATACAACTGCCCCATACGCAATGTCATGCTTCCCTGCGGATTTCAATATATGTTTCTTGTCCCTATATCTTCTTCTATTAAGTTGAAATAAATGTCTGCAGTGAATACAGGTCTACCAGCCATCCAGGCATGGGCCACACAGCTACAGTTGGAACCCCACAGTGATGTGGCCAAGAAAAACGTCTGTCTTCTACCGACAGCAACATGGAGTCACTCGCAAGGACTTCATTCCATGAGAGGTATGTGAGTATTGGTGCACTTTTATTGAAATAGCTGTACATGTGGTATAGATTTTGTAGAAAGGGTACTGCATATAAACATATGTATGGTGCTGTAATGGTGTGTTTGTAAGTGTATATGTAGCTATGTGTGTTTGTAAGTATATATTTGTTGGATATCCCTAAGCAACCGACATGTATGAAGCTACGTACTGAGGAGTTTTATAAGCATTACATACTATCCTGCGCAATGTAAGGTGGGTTCTGTACATGTTTGTTGCTAGGGATGTCTAACAAATATGTTGCAGTGCCCAGACAGGACAGCATGAGCCCTGTAAGGGTGAATTATATACTGTCTTTCTGAAGGCTACATGTGACTTAGTATTATGGCGAGTCGGGAGTGACCAAACTACACATATGCAGTCATGGGTGGGCATGCACAGGAGGATCAATGCTTTTCACATAGCTGTCCTCTGCTTCTGGATGCGTGCCTCTCTTGCATGCATCAGCGGCGCGAAAGGCATTTTTTCTGTACTTGGCTTCTTTCGGAAGCACGACGCTGCCTCCTGCAAGTTCTGTCTCTCGCTAGTCGTCGCCCCCGCACTGCCTGATGAGTCACGCTCCATAAGTATCTTGCGTGCAGCAAACACGTTTAGAGAATGTGTGTAGAATTGCCGCCTTAAATTGGAATGATGTGCAGTGCGGCAGTGCCTGCGGCAATGCGGGTCACAAAGATATAAATTATTAGTCAAATAGACAACTAGTTTTGCTTTCTCCCGCTCCCAATAATAGTAGTAGTCTAGCCAAAAAGTCAGTCAGCCTTCTTCTAAACTTCTACCATCTTTCTTTAATCGAACTTAGTAGTGTATGGTCGTGCCCACCGTCCAAACTGAACATGGGTTGGTCATGTCCACGCGATCCTGCACGTAGTTGTATATCACTAACTACGTACATACACTTTGGAGGTGACTTTTGATGAGCATCCCAGAAAAAACTCTGAGAACTTGTTTGTCTTGTCTTGTGTTGGTCTAACATTATCATAAGACCCGAAAAACAAATATGTGTAACTCAGAAAGTAGTGTAATTTCGGTGTGATTTGCGCATCAGTACATTTTGCGATTTTGTGATTTTACATGTGGCAACAAAACACATTGTGGCATAACGACACTACAGGTCCATCATACAAAACCCTGAATGTCTGGTTATAGCTTCTGCTAATTGCAGTGAACAAAAGTTTACATTGTACGAAAGTTGTGCTAATACTACCATTATTGTCCTTGTTTCTTCTCTACTTCTTCATTGAGTGCAGACAACACATGTCACCTCCTTCTCACTGTTGTAAGGAGGACAACTGAGGCTGTTGCAAGTTGCCTCCACATGATAGTAAATGGCATTGTTGGTATCATGTGCATTCAGTCCAGGAACAGACTCTGGTTGATCATCAATACATTGAAACAGTGTACGACCATTGTAGATGTCACGTGCTGCCATGAGGTATCCATTGTATTCTGTGGTCCAGTTGGTGGGGCAGCTCAGTTTGGCAGGTATCACTAGTAGTTTACTTCTGATGGAGGTGCAACAAACTGCACATGGTATGTTGTGGTTGTCATTCCCTCCAAATGGCTGGTTTGTATTGGCTCGATACTGTGCTCCCCTACTCCACCCTCATAACGGGAGTACTCAGGATCATCTGGCAGACAGAGAAGATTGGCTGCACCTCCATGATGGTGGTAGTAAGACCCCCCAGCTCTTCCAGAGTAGACTAGTGTTGTTCCCTGGTCAGAGGGACAGGAGGTCCTCCCCCAGCGAGTGTAGACAGTTCCTCCTCCAGTTGCTGGACCCTGTGGACCAGGTTCTCCTTGAGAACCAGCAGGTCCAGGGGAACCACGACTACCCTTGTCTCCCACTGGCCCCCGGGGACCAGATATTCCGGGAGGTCCCCGAAAACCTGGCATTCCCCTCTCTCCCGTGTCTCCTGGCAATCCGGGCTCTCCTCTGTCTCCCTTTGCTCCTCTCTCTCCCTTCCCACCATCTCTTCCATGTTGACCCTCTGGACCATGTGGACCCTGTTCTCCTGGAAGACCAGGCAGACCTCTGTCTCCCTTTGGTCCCTGAGTTCCTGGCTCTCCCCTCACACCATCTCTCCCATCTCTGCCGTCTCTTCCTCTCAGGAGCTCCACTTGTGGACAGGTGTGGGTTTCTCCATCACCACTAGTATTGCTTGGGTCTCTCTCCAGAGAACGGACTGTTTATAGAGAATTAAAGATATTGCCGGCAGTAGCTGCATTGTCATACCTGCAGTCAGTGAGCAGATCATCATCACAGCTAGTGTAGCTTGCAATTGAACCTTTAGAATGGCCATTTTCGTCGCTAGCAAAAATCATGATGTTGTTTAACTTCGAGATATATTTGTATATAGTAAATGGAGCGCGCTATTCACAAATTGCAATCCTGGCATTCCTACACATGCTTTCTTCTATTAACTCTGTCCAAGAAAAAACTGTTTAATTGAATGTTTCGATAGTTGCATTCTTGCATAAGTTGTTGTCAACCACTTGTCTAACCAGGTACCAGGGAGCACACGCCTGGTGTTTTGGCACAAAATGAGCATGAGAAAGCGATGTCGGTGTACTCGATAACCCTTTCAAAAGGGGGGACTCGCCCCTAATTGCAGCATAGGGGCTCCCAGATGCTACCCCAGCATCATGCCTCATGCCGTGGGAGTGTCCCGCAGCCTAAACACGTGCGACATGGATGAGATATGCTTTTTGTCACTGTGTGTAACAATCTGGTCAAAACTGAGGTACCACCAGATTCAACACGACACTGCCTTCATTATTAAAATTCAAAATCAAGTGGACCCACTGGCTTACCTAAACCGGATTCCAATAGTTTTGTTGACTGTGAAAGTTGCAGTGGAGTGCAAAAATTTGTATGATGACAAATGTGAGATCAAAGGAATTCCAGTCAGTGTAGATGGGAGGAGCCCTTCCAGCTGAGTCTACGTTAGTGATATCATAGAGTGGCCATCGATTTCCCCATACTTTAGCTGTATGTCAACTTACTTGCCTAAACGACAGGTTAGGAAATTGCCATGGTGGAATGCAGTTACGTACATACGTAGGTGTTTTACGGCTCTTGTGTGCTGCTTATCTTGCAACAATATCGTATAATGACTATGGTTTAGTTCAAGTGAATGAAGGGATATTCACCTCTAGGTACAAGGTCCGTGAACACTAGCGCAAGCTGCTTCCCGATGATCTCGAACAGGAAGAGCATCCGGTGATCGTCAGCTTAGCTTACAGTCTTGCAACAGGCTGCATTCGAGAGCACTTGGTAAGGTGGGTAACAAAAGCAAGCTAGGCTAACGGGACATAGTACCTGTGTGAGGTAAAAGAACTGTTGCTTTGATAATTATATCTGTACGTTGAACTCTCGAGGAATAACCATGAATATCCATCACCGCTGTTTGTTGCATACGAGTGGTGTGCACTAAGAAGTATTTTGAAGCTTTTGTGGAATCTTATTTGTCAGAGCCTTATAGCTGGATGTAATTATACAACCATATTATATGATGGCTGTGGTTTTCTGGGTTGCATACCTGTGGCTTCAGTTTTGATAGACACTCCGCTCTGTCCTTGTGCCCTATCAAAGCTGACTATACACTCAGTGTACAACCGGTAGACCACCTCTGTCCTTGTGCCCTATCAAAGCGGACTATACACTCAGTGTACAAGGTAGACCACCTCTGTCCTTGTGCCCTATCAAAGCTGACTACACTCAGTGTACAACCGGTAGACCACCTCTGTCCTTGTGCCCTATCAAAGCTGACTACACTCAGTGTACAACCGGTAGACCACCTCTGTCCTTGTGCCCTATCAAAGCTGACTACACTCAGTGTACAACCGGTAGACCACCTCTGTCCTTGTGCCCTATCAAAGCTGACTACACTCAGTGTACAACCGGTAGACCACCTCTGTCCTTGTGCCCTATCAAAGCTGACTACACTCAGTGTACAACCAGTAGACCACCTCTGTCCTTGTGCCCTATCAAAGCTGACTACACTCAGTGTACAACCGGTAGACCACCTCTGTCCTTGTGCCCTATCAAAGCTGACTATACACTCAGTGTACAACCAGTAGACCACCTCTGTCCTTGTGCCCTATCAAAGCTGACTACACTCAGTGTACAACCAGTAGACCACCTCTGTCCTTGTGCCCTATCAAAACTGACTACACTCAGTGTACAACCAGTAGACCACCTCTGTCCTTGTGTCCTATCAAAGCTCACTACACTCAGTGTACAACCTGTAGGCAACCTCTGTCCTTGTGCCCAATAAAGCTGACTACACTCAGTGTACAACCAGTAGACCACCGGCTATAACATAAATGTCCTACTGAATCAACAAACAAGTAGCATAGCTCAGCCCATCATGTTGCAGTACTAACCCGTGAGTGCTTAATAGGTGTGTATTGTACTCACACGGGTGCCTTTCTAGTATGCCTATAGTTTGCGATTTAGTTCATGTGTGCCAGAAATGATTGTAACACACCTAGGAAGAAAAGTAATTATTCGTAACCTTTGGATAGAGCCGTAAATATGGTTGGAGTCTCTATAAGTGCTGCAATATGTTGTCAAGTTACATGTTCACCAAAAATCTACCTTCAAGTTTATTATGTTTATGCTACAGTTTTAGTCACTAGCTCAGTGTTCATTTCATCACTGAGTGCAGACAACACATGTCACCTCCTTCTCATTATCATAAGGAGGACAATTAAGACTATTGCAGGTTGCCTCCATGTGATAGTACTGAGCATTTCCACCGTCATCTCCATTCAGTCCAGGAACAGACTCTGGTTGACCATCGATGCACTCAAATAGGGTGTGTATATCATCACTTTGACGACCTGCCATGAGGTATCCATTGTACTCTATTGTCCAGTTGGTAGGGCAGCTCAGTTTGGCAGGTATCACTAGTAGTTTACTTCTGATGGAGGTACAACAAACTGCACACGGTATGTTATGGGCATGTTTAGTTTGAAATGGCTGGCCTAAGGCTCTGTACTGTGCTCCCGTGAGGGGACTATTATTCTGAACTCCAGCTGCATACAGTGAGTACTCAGGATCATCTGGCAGACAGATGAGGTTAGCTGCTCCTCCTTTAGTACTCCAGGTAGACCCCCCAGCTCTTCCAGAGTAGACTAGTGTTGTTCCCTGGTCCGAGGGACATGAGGTCCTCCCCCAGCGAGTGTAGACTGTTCCTCCTCCTGTTGCTGGACCCTGTTCACCAGGCAAACCTTGAGGACCTTGTAATCCGGCCTCTCCTCTGTCTCCCTTTGCTCCTCTCTCTCCCTTCCCACCATCACTGCCGTTCTGACCCTCAGGACCTTGTGGACCCTGTTCTCCTGGAAGACCAGGCAGACCTCTGTCTCCCTTTGGTCCCTGGGCTCCTGGCTCTCCCCTCACACCATCTCTCCCGTCTCTGCCGTCTCTTCCTCTCAGGGGCTCCACTTGTGGACAGGTGTGGGTTTCTCCATCACCACTAGTATTGCTTGGGTCTTTCTCCAGAGAATGGGCTGTTTATAGAGTGAGAAGTAAAGATATTGCTTGTCAATTTAGTTAGCGAAAAAGAAACGGTAATTGCATCTTTGCCTATTGTTTAGCTCTAGCTTTAGTAGCATCAAAATTTAGCCCTTACATACTACTGCATTCCCTTTAAGTAACTATTATAGTCATACCTGCAGTCAGCGAACAGATCATCATTACAGCTAGTGTAGCTTGCAGTATAACCTTTAGAACAGCTCCCATTTTTTCTTTCGGTGACAAGTGATTTTGTGATCTATTCAGTTTGTGTGGTCACTTTTATTTGAACGAGGCTGTTGGGGCTGTGTTGTGGCACTAAACATGTTTTTAAGATCGCTCCTTTGTTGAACAGTTATTCACGAATGATTAACCCTCGGCACGCATGCGCAGCGAGGGTTACAGTACTTGGTTTGGTTTGTCATTCCGTCCGTCTGTCTGTCTATCTGTTACCACGTTACGACTCCCGCATGCTATCTGCTACTGTAGCTAGCCCGTGTCAGACTCTCCAATAGCTACTAGCGGGAGACCACGCGTAAACGATATTATAGCCCTACCCATGCGCAGTTCGCCGAGGGTTTGCACTTCAGTGCTTTTCATTACACCAGTACTGATAACCGCTCTCCGAAAGGTGCAGTAAGCTCTCAATACAACAGAATGTGTAGTAATGTGCACATTCACAATGTGTGCACAGCTTTTTATTTGGAGGAGTTTTGGTGGTGATTGGTCACGTTCTGTTCTACTTACAGGTACATACATATGTGTATTTGTAATAGATACATAGTAGAATTTTTTTGCACACAGTATTCTACTTCTACACAACATTGAAAATCGTGTGGATTTCTCCATCATCACTGGGTCTCTCTCCAGAGAATGAGCTGTGAAGAAAGAGTAGATTTTCATACCTACAGTCAGTGAGATAATCATTGTTACAGTTAAATCTTCTCATTTTTCAGTAACCAGTAAATGTATGCACTATATTATAGTTGGTGTGTATCTATGAGACTAGTGGGTTGCTACGCTAATGTTTAGTTACGATCACTCCCTTGGTGGATGGTTACTCACCTGACTCTGAGAAAGTTATGATGCTACTCAGAAGGGAGGGTGCCACTCTAAACATCTTATATGCACTGTTGCGCTCGACTACCTTTTCCCACATAGTTTCTCTTGTGACTAGGTACACGCAGCATGCACAGACACACAAGTAAATGGAAACACCTGCAGATAAGGGCCTAATTCTTGGATTGTGTATGGCATTCATGTAGATATAGAGAAATGATGACTCGCACACCTCCATGTATCATGCGCCATCCATGCTCTCAAGCCAACACCGAGGGTCTCATTTGGTTGCACAGTTGTGGTCAGTAACTCACGGTAATGCAGGCGGTCTGTGTGCATGTTGCATTTTTAAAAGTGTAGTGTGCATTGTGGTTCACAAAGTTTATTCGCATCTTACACTGCCATGTTGCACAGGATGTACAGCCACTGGTAGAGTCCAGGGATCTGGAGCATTCCTTCATGCATGTCCTTGATGAGTTGTCAGGTCATCTGGAGCAGTTTGGGGAGGAGAGACAGGGAGAAGTCCAGTCTTTGTGTTCTGTCATGATTTTCCATCCCTTCTCTCCTTGCCCCAGCCTGAAATAGTGAGGTTCACAACTGACCCAGACGTATGCTGGCAGACAATGTTTTATCTCGAGACCAGTGTGACAACTACTAGAATTGGCCAAGGTAGGATATCGTCATTATACCGATAATTATTACTGTAAACTTGAACGTTTTGCCAACATGAAATAGTCAGTAAGAATAAAGAAACAGTGGTAGAAGGTCCCTGTGGCCTGTGTAGCTCTCCAGTTAGCAGAAAATGTTGCCGTGGCTGAGTTCGTAGTTCTCTCGCACCATATCTGTGTACATCGAAAGCCAGTTTAGGAAAATTCTATGATGACGGGAGCACTCAGCAACAAAGTCGGGTATAGCTTCAAGTGCATGGTTGGATATTTATAAATAGTGCTTTGGAAATGGACGATGTATGAAGTTTACTGAAATGTTGTATATACTTAATCAGGTTCATTTATAACAATTGAGCACTGTAAGGAGGGAGATGGCTACCAACCAAGGCCCCCCACATTACAACGAGCTCTTGAAGGACTCAACATTCTTGATGCAGCCAAGGTTGTATACTATGTAGTACATGTGCTTCGTGCATGGCAATGACGAGTGATGTCTTACTACATAATTATGGTTTTGTTATATGAGCTCTTGACAAAACCAAAAACTAAGCTAAGACCTAAATGCAAACCACGTGTAGAAACGATAAATGAAAAGTTTGCATGCTCTTCCATGGCGGATCTATACCTTTATAGTAAGAGAGGGTTAGTGCCTTAGTGGGACCCTTGGAGCCTGCGCACGCTGATAACCAAACTGATCCTTTTAAACACTTTTTGGCCATGACATGAGGCATAGGCAACCCCGCTGGGGCACTGCTGTCAGACTATACTACCTAGCTGAGGACTGTTAGAGGGATGTCTAACTACTCTCCTAGCTGTAGGGTCATGAGTAGTTGTAACTGTGCTGCCCAAGCTGTAGGACTGTTTGCGTAATAGTCTGACTAGACGATGCCAAGGCGAAACCCTTCCAAACAGGCCAAACAGCGACTGGATCACTGTAGCCATGCCATCTTACTAACCAGTGGCCACTGGGAAGCCTTTTGGCTGGGGATAGGTCTGGTGCCCCTTGTCTCTGCCAACCTCAGCTGTGTTAAAGCAAAATGCATCAATTTTGGCATGCCGGAGCGAACTAAACTGCATCTGCATTGTACGTGTGAAAGGTTCTGGGTTTGTAGGATATTTCAAAAAAACTACAGATTCATTCTTTCGTGGGAACTGAAGAAGGAGCCTCTCTCCTGTTCTGCTCTCAACTCCTCCCTATTTACGGCGGGCATGCCTCTCTGAGTTGGCGGCAATTCTCTGCTCTCATTCCTGAGTAGAAATGAAGGCGCGTGTTGTTATGCGCTAACCCGAGATGTTGCGAGGGGCCGGTCATTGGGTCTCGCACACAACACAAAATCATCATGACAGTACAACTCATGCACATTTATGGGCGGTCTGACAATGCATACATGACGGGTTATGCAACACCATGACGACTGCACACATGTCTAGGGTTTACAATATAACAGGCATACAGCCTGCAGGGTCCAGGTTACCACACGGGTCTTGTTGCTGGACTCTTGCAGCGATGTCTGCCTTCGGAGCTGTTCTAGTCTGGGTCTATGCCGTTTCTCTGTGTTGTAGCACGTCGCCCTCTATTCTTGATAAACGTATCACTAGCTTCGATCTGCTGTTTGTGGCAGGGATGTGTTCCACTATACGCAATCAGCGTGAGCAAATCTGAGCCTCTCTCTGACTCAGGAGTACTCACAGGCATTGCTGACTGTTCCACTGTGCACGCGCCCAACTCACTCATTTTTTGTGGCCGTGGTGACAACATACATAATCACCAGTCAGTTTTCCTCTGACTGGGTCTGATTGCCAGTAGCACATTTCATCCTTCCACTAAACTTTACCACTATCGTTGTACCTTCCCATCAATACTCGTGTCTCTCGTGGAGCTAGGTGAGCGCCTCAATAAGTAACAATAGGGGTGGGCATGAACACAGGGACAAAGTCAGAAAACGAATAGAGAATTGCATGGTGATATGGTGAGGATTAACCACACCAGAACTGCGCGGAGGGAGGAGAGAATTACGCGCAAGCCGCATTGCCGGCTCTACGTAAGCGGATTCCTTCCGCCCGTGTAGGCTACCGCGTACCACGGGACACATTATAATTGTGCGCGAACACCCTATTTTTCCTTCATGCAGTTACATATGTTACTACAATACCACAGGAAATCCAAGGGGAGAGGTTTGTTCCAGAGCTGTCTTCAACTGTATGTCATGCCAGCAGGGAGTGGTACTCGAATGCAATAGCCAAAGGAATTCAATTCCAAATCCACTCTATTTTGTCTCCTACACCCACGTAGTGTCGCACTGCCAAAGATGGATGCAACACCCACCTTAATCCATTGTCGGGACAAACCTAATGAATCTGGCTTTTTTGCACCTCTATGATAGGAGTGCTTTAAGGTAGCTTGAAAACTGAACCCTGATGCCGCAATAATTAGTGAAATGTTTCCAAAAGCACACTCTAGTATATATGTTTAAGGAAAAACAAATGCTTAATGTGGTACTTCGCTACCGGAGTGGTACTTATCGTCTTTATGCTGGATTTTCAAAATACTATCTGCCTGTACCGTACATCGGGCCCTACATCTACATCGAACAGCATATAATGTTATCTGTGGTAATGGCTAATGAACACCACACAAACCACTCCCTTCAGTGGTGGAGAGGAGAGATTGAGTCATCCAGTCCACTCTCGATAACTGCATCGAACGAGGCCATGAGAATGTGCCAAAGTCCCTCCTGCCTACACCTGGAGAGACTAACGGTCAGTGGAGGGAGGGAAGGGATGGGGAAAAGAACAGGAGCCCCCGTAGAGAGCAAGGGGTGCGAGGAATTGATTTGGATGGCTGACCAATAACATCATGTGATGGGCTTTTACCACGAGGAGAAAGGCGACCCCACCCCAAAAGGTCCTCATTATCATGACCAATTTAAAATAATACCACTGAAACTATCAACCGGAAGCGTTAACAGACACATGCAACTCTCCATACTTCTCCTCAGTTCCCCAGTGTAAGTACTGTCAAGCAGTTCCAATTTGGTCAAATCCCCCCCCCCCCCCCCACCCTCCCACACCCCAGTTTGCCATGCTGTACTCAATGATGAGTTTGAAGGAGGAGACTTCTTCTATGCACACTCTCCAAAAGACTCTACACTAATGTATGTGAGTTTGCCATTGCCATGCCGTACTCCTGGATTAGGCTTAGAAAAACTTTTACACTCACATCGATACATGCTTGAATTGTGCTACGCAGCATGATCCCCCCTCTCGTTTCCCATATAGATAAGCAGGCAAAATGCACCTGAATAACATAGAGTGGCGAAAGGCTGAGAACAAGGACCATGAAGCTGTAAAACACTTCCGCTTTACAATTGAGAAGGAATATTGATGGCACAGTCTCTTAACTCTCATATCCCCCTTGTCCCTCTGATCCCTGTGTCTCAGGAGAACGGTGCGTCCCAAAGTGTGGTCGCTGGTGGCTTTTCAGCAGGGGAAGGCAGGAACATGCACGGAGAGTACTGGCTGTCCACCAGGGCAGGAGGTGTGCCG